GGATAAAACAGATCGCAATCAGTTGAGGATTCAATTTTCAATCGATTGGCAACCGTTTCATCCCTTCGTCCTCATTAGGGAAGGAGAAATTGATTGTTATATTAAGGGCAGGATTCCGCCGCCCGTCGGCGTTTCGAACTGCGGTAGGTTTCCCTCACCTACTCGACAGCGAACATCACCGCTCGCTCCGCCCTCCGATTCCCCCATACGCGTTCCCCCCCACTCTGCGTCGTTATCGACGCTCTCACACGCTCCCTGTTTTACTTACAGGTACGTACTCAAAATTAGTTCTGCGCCACCGCTACGAAATTTTGCGGTTGAAGCGTTTCCATAGGCGCTAGCAATCTCCCTTATAATCTCTGGTAAAATCGCCACTCGGGAAAAAAATCCCTCCAACCGGGCCTTAAGGCCCGGGTGTAATAATTTTTTCCCCCTTGAGCGATTTAACGCCATCATGTTTGGTGGTTGCATTAGGAATTAAAAAATCCCTAATTGCGCCGTCGGTAACTATGCGATTGACTAATAATGGTAATCGAACAGGTCCGTATGTAGGGGATCAAATCAGGGGGCCTAATTTTTCCTCCCCCAAAAATCATCACATGCATAAAAAAAAAGATTTCTAAACAATGATAGAGGTGTATATATATATATATATATATATAGGGTGTCCCGCAACCGCTCCTTTTCCTGAAAGGGTATTGAAGAGGGAGCTTTTTGAAGTGGAAAGTTCCTCTTCCTTTTTTGGATCTGAGCTTATTTTTTTTTGGTCTGACCTTTTTTGATTTCGGGGTTTTTCTACGGATTTCAGGGGCGAAGTTTTTTTTTTAAATTGACAAAATTTTTTTTTCTTTCTTGAGGGGAGGGGGTGAGGAACAAGGCTGAGCCCAAATCCTGTCTCCAAGATAGGAATGGGATTTTCTTTCTCCATTTTGTGCTCTCAATTCGCATGGATTTGGGAAAATTGGGCACTTCGAGGGGGTAAAAGCCACCCCCGTTTGAAACGGGGATTCGAAATCTTCACTAAATGAGGGGAGGAGGTTGAGGACCAAGCCTGAGCCCAAATCCTGTCTCCAAAAGGGGAATGGGATTTTCTTTTTCCATTTTTTGCTTTGAGTTCGCATGNACGGGGATTCGAAATCTTTACTAAATGAGGGGAGGAGGTTGAGGACCAAGCCTGAGCCCAAATCCCGTCTCCAAAAGGGGAATGGGATTTTCTTTTTCCATTTTTTGCTTTGAGTTCGCATGGATTTGGGGAAATTAGGCACTTCTAGGGGGTAAAAGCCACCTCCGTTCGAATCGGGGAGTTGACATTTTCACTAAATGAAGGGAGGGGGTTGAGGAACAAGCCTGAGCCCAAATCCCGTCTCCAAAAGGGGAATGGGATTTTCTTTTTCCATTTTTTGCTTTGAGTTCGCATGGATTTGGGGAAATTAGGCACTTCTAGGGGGTAAAAGCCACCTCCGTTCGAATCGGGGAGTTGACATTTTCACTAAATGAAGGGAGGGGGTTGAGGAACAAGCCTGAGCCCAAATCCCGTCTCCAAAAGGGGAATGGGATTTTCTTTTTCCATTTTTTGCTTTGAGTTCGCATGGATTTGGGGAAATTAGGCACTTCTAGGGGGTAAAAGCCACCTCCGTTCGAATCGGGGAGTTGACATTTTCACTAAATGAAGGGAGGGGGTTGAGGAACAAGCCTGAG